TGGAGCCGGGGCCGTGGGGGGGGGGGGCTGCCCGGTCACGGCTGGAGATGCGGGTATCCCGGGCGCTGATCTCACTGCTGAGGAATCCGTGGGGAGAGGCGGTCGGAGCAGCTGAGAAAAACGCAGAAAAACGCGCCCGGGGGCGGGAGGGGGGGTTGGGGCGCTCCCTGTGCTGTACCCACCATTGGGACAAAGTGTGCTGCGACCCCGCTGCTGTGGGTCACGTCCCGTGCGCGGGGTGCTGCCCTCGGGGTGGGGTATCCCGGTGAGAAGCTGCGGGAGGATGCTCTGTGCTCCCTGATTGCTGTTGGGTTCAGACAATAAAACCCATTGCCGGGCTGTGAGCGATCGCTCCGCAGCCGATGGGTGTTCCTACGGAGGAGCAGCCGTGGGGGTTAATGGACCTCTCTTCTTCTCTTACAGCCATCGAGCAGGAGAAGGAATGTGTGAAGTCTTCCTAGAGCGATGGTCTGGCAGGAAGAGCCACCACTTGATTGGTTTTTGTTTTTTGTTTTTTTCTTTTCTATGAATTAAATCATCTGTTTTTTGTGGGTTTTTTTTTTTTAAACTTCCATCATGTACACGTCTAGAAAACAGCCGTATCGTCTGACCCACTGCCCCGCCTCGCTGGCAGCTTTGGTGAGTGGGGGACACAAAGTGTGGCCCCCCGATCCATCAGCCCAACCCAACCCCATGGGTGCTGCCCAGCTGATGCCTGCTGACCGTGCTGACCTCGCTCTGGTGTGTGGGGAGGTGAGCAGAGGCTGCGGAGGCTCCTGGGGACAGAGCTCTGCACTGGGGGAGTGGGATCCTTTCTGGCCACCCTGTGGCCTCGATGTCATCCTTTTCACTGATGGTGTTCTGTAGCCTCACTCACAATTTGTCTTCCTTGGGGGAAAAAATGAGAAGTTTATTATAAAATAAAACAAAAGTATAACAACCTCCCTCCTGGCTTGTGGCTTCTTCCCTGGGGAAGGTTCAGGTGTAGCCCTGGGGGTGGGAAGGGCAGGGTTGGAGGTTGGCATTGCTCAGAGAGATCCCTAGAGGGGCAGCCCAGCTCAGGGTGGGGACTGAACCTGCTGCTCTGAGCAGTTTGTGTCCTCTGCCCAAAGCACTGCTGCAGGGCTGGGCTGGAGGTTCCTCCGCTGGCCCAGGTCCCACAGGTGCTGGGTCCGTCCCCTTACTGCCTGGCACAGCCCTTCCCTCACCTGCCTCAGCCCCGGCCTTTGGCTGAAGGAGGTTTTTGCAGCCCTCAGAGATGGGCTTGGTACCCTCTCAGCCGTTCTTAGCCCGGCACACTGAGGTTCTGTGTGCATCCCCAGGGCTCTGCTGAGGTTTCCCAAGACTTCCTCACCCGCTCCAGGGTCACCTGCCAGACTGTTGTGCCCGCAGAGATGGGAGCAGACAGACCAACAGCTTTGATGGCAGAAACACGGGGACTGTCTCCACCAACGTGATGGGCAGGGAGTCAGCAGCTGCCTCACCCGATTCTTGTTATCTTCGGCTCTGAGGGCAAAGACCCCCAAATGTCCCCATTGCAGGAGGAAGGTTGGCCAGCAAGGGGAGGATCATTACAGAAAAGTGCTCTCTACCAACTCTGTCTCTCCCTCCCTGCCCTGGACCTTCTCTTTTTCACACCCAGGGTGTGTGGGCAGTTGGGATGCCTGCCAGGTTGATGTCCCCAAACTGTGATGGCTTTGGCAGCATGGGTGCAGGTGATGCTGCACCGTGTGGTGACCATCCCCGAGGGGCTGAGTGCCATAGTACCTTGTGTCCTGGGAGTATCCATGCCTCCCCACTGGGGCCCCGTCCAGCTGCTCTGGGGCTGTTTCCTCCCATGGGTTTATCGGCTGTGAAAGAGGGAGGAGGCGGCTGAGTCACCTTTGGGAGTTATTTGGGTTCTGCAGGACAAATACCTGGTGAGCAGCAGCACGGGGCCAATTCGGCTCAGGGCTCGTGGCTGGGATGGGCACCTCCCCCCCTCCCTTGGGACTGACTCAGCCGGGAGGGGATTTGGCCCCATGGGTTTGCACGGAGATAATCTCGGGCATTTCGAGCACAATAAGGCGAAGAAGCCACACTCTGGGCTTCACAGCCACACAAATCTGCAGCTCCTCCTTGTGCAGGGCAGAGCTGTCACTTAGCAGTGCAGCACGGGGCTGCGTCCCCTTGCTGTGCAAGCACAGCTGCAGGGAGGGAGAGAGAGCAAACATGAGCTGCAAGGGAAAACCTGCATGCACAGGAGATGTTTGAAAGCAGCCATGCATGCGTGCACGGTGTGTGCACAGTGCAGGTGTGAGCTCGGTAAGAAGGGAAAGCAGAGGAGATGCAGCAGTAGGTGAAAGCAATGGGCAAGCCAGCAGCACTGAGCGCAGTGCTCAGCACGCACCAACACTTCCCCAAGAAGCTGAGAAGTTATTACTGCTCTCAAAATAATGCCCGGGAGGTCAGCTTTATGAACAGCAGCTTGCTCATCCCCAGTGAGTAAGGGCTTAGCCCATAATAATATGAAGCTGGTGCGCTCCCAGCTGCCTGCCCTCTTGGCCACAGCCCTGGCAGCAGAGCCTTTCAGAGGTGCTTGGAGGTTCACATTCAGTGTGGGGAGCTTTGTGCTGCCCCCCAGATTGTTCTGAGCATGGGGAAGGGATGGGAGCCGCCCTGCTGCGTGCCTTTTCTCCGCACCACACGTGCAGCAGTGACCAACAGCTCCAGACAGTAGCCAAAATTGCTCATCGGGGCCCCCCACCACATTGCATGCATTCCCCCCGGCGTGCCATGAGCAGAGGAGAGTGCTGCCATGGGGAAAGCTGCTCTGGTGACACGTGGCAGTTGTGCCTGGGTAGGGGCAGCTGACGGCGTGGAGCGGTGCTGTATTTTGGGAAGCAGCTGCCTCACACAGGAGATATTGCTTATCGTCTTTCTCCCCTTTCCTCGGTGCTTTATTACAAAGGATTATGGCGTGAAAAGTGGTTTTGTTTCTGTGCCCCCCGCCCGGCCCCCCTCTGTGATTTATCCCCATTTTGGGCAGCAGCTGCAGCACCCTGAGGATCTGGGAGTGAGGTGGAGGTTCTGACCTGCGCAGAGCAATGCCCAGCAGGAAAGTATAGGGCCAGGTAGGGATCGCAGGTGATCACCTGAAGTTGCCTCTACCACGGGGCAAAGGGATGGGTGGTAGCCAAGCAGACACAGAGCCATGCAGCAACAGTGGGGTTTGAGGTAGGAAAAGAACAAGGAATGAGGGCAGGGTGGATATGACCCCAAAAGCTGAGGCACGGAGCAGCTCCCCTCCAGCATTGCTTTGGGGCACTTTCTTCCCACAGCCAGGACACTGCAGCCACCTCCATCTCCATCCCATGCCCACACTGTGGTGACTCCACTCATTCCCAGTGCAGGGCTGTGTCCCAGTGTGGAGCAGTGATCCAGTGCCTGCCAACCACCCCCGCAGCTTTCCAGGAACCAACACGAGATTGATGGGCAGCAGATAAGCATGCAGCAACAGCTTCCTCGTGCTGCGTCTTCCAAACAACAGCCATGCATGTGCACCTACCTCCAGGTGAAACTCAGGCTGCTGCCTCCTCCCATAGTGCTGCTGTGCTGCCCTCTGCGTTTCCAGCTGCTCTGCTCGATGCTTTGTTCCCTGTATCGCTGCTGTGCTGCACAGAAAGGCATGGCTGATGCCATGCACAGTGCAGGGAGCTGGTATATGAGCGGTGCAGAGAGAAGGTGAGAATTGGAGCGAGCAGTAGAGCACAAGGGGCTGGCGGAGGGCTCAGAGGCAAGAGGGGAGCAGCTGGGTGCTGGCAGTGCCTGTGGTGCCCACAGCCTGGCTGGCAGTGAGCCCAGCGCCTGGGGCATTGCAGGAGGAATTACTCAGGGCTGATGGACACACGCAGGGTGAGGAGGGCAGTGCTGGGCCGAATCAGCACAGCTTTAGGAAAAGCCATCGGGTGAGCGCAGAGGCTGCAGCAGCACTGCTATCCCCGACTTGGAACGGTGGGCTCTGCAAAAACCTCACCTCTGCCATCCCCCAGAACCACCTGAGGGACTCCTGGGATGAGCTGTGGTTGGCAAGTGAGGCAGAAGCAGCTCACCACTGGCTTTGCCCGTCTGCCCACTGCAGCACTCAGCACCCCAGGGATGCATCCAGCGCCCGGCCTGCAGGCAGCACGTGCTCCCACACCCCAGGGCCTGAGCAGTGCAGGGACGAGCCCACGCTTGTGGTGTTGTGTCTCAGAGAGGCAGCTCAGCTGCCCAGGCATGTTACTTCTTGCTGCCTCTCCCACACCGCTCCCAGAAGCACCTCTAGCATCTCACTGATGGGAAGTGGGAGGATGTGCAGTGATGAGCTGGGCAGTGCTCAGCTGCCAGAGCCCAAGCAGCTGCTCCCAGCAGGCAGATCCCCTCCCAGCCCCCTCCCCACCAACGCCTGCAGCTCCTCGTGTTACCAGGATGTCCGGAGCAGTTGTTGTGCCTGGGAGCTACCGGGTATTGGGGGAGCAGCTGCAGAGCTGGTTACTGGGACCAAAAAAGCAGGAGGAGGCTGGAGGTCCAGCTGCAGTGCGGGGCATGCAATGAGTTCATCGGGGCTCAAGCAGCCACTGCAGGCTGCATGGAAGCAGCTCCCTACGGCACCGCACCCTATGGCTCACACCCCAGGTCTGATCATTTCCATGCAAAATGCACTCGGGTGCACGTTTGGCACCAGGTGATGGTCAGCAACCCCAGCTCTAAAGGAAGGGCCCCATCTCCTTACACAGACCCCACGCTCCGGGCCCGGCGGGGCGGAGGGCAGGGCAGGAGGACCCCTCAGAATGGGGAAACTGAGGCACGGTGCCACCAAGCGGGGGACGGCAGGGGATGCTCAGCAAGGCGCTGCCCGCAGCCGCACCGCTGGCAGGCACCGAGTGGGCGTGGCCTCTCACGGAGGCGGGCGGGGCTATCAGTGGCCACGCCCCCATCGCGGCGCATCGGAGATGCGCATGTACCGCGCATGCGCCGGACTGGCCGGCACCTGCCCCCGGCGGGTCGGGTCGGTGGGCGGCGGCGGCTGGAGGCCGGTAAGGGCGGGCGGTGGGCGGCGGTACCCCGAGCATCCATCCATCCATCCCTGGCCTCGCACACCCCTCTCAGCCCCGAGCATCCCTCTCTAGCCCCGCGCGTCCCCTGCCATTCTCCCTCAGGCCGCATCCCCAGCGCTGGGTCCTGGCGGGGGGGGGGAGGGCTGTGGGTGCAGCATCCTGTCCCCCAGCAGGGGGTTGGGAAAGGACTGCGGCCGTGTTGAGTCCATCGCAGCCCCGGGGTGTTCCTTACGGCCTCGGGCCGAGCCGTGCTGCAGTTGCCGTTCGGCTCTTGGGATGCTGACGATTTGCTTTGGTACCGCTGGGTCGCACGGATGCTGTTCAGGTGTCTGCAGTTTGCTCAGCTGGGGGTATTTCTGTGCTGGGGAAGTGAAATCGGGAGCTTTCAGTTAGCATCTCTGCAAGCAAAAGCAGAAGTTTCTGATTTTGGCTTTGTGGCAAGCATCGGTTGAAAGAGCTCTGAAAAAAAGAGGAAGTAAAGTTGAGCAGGGCTGTCTGTGGTTGGTGCTTTTTGGCTTGGAAGGAATAGAAGTGCTGCTGTGAGCAACATCAGACCCCCACGCCAGCCCTGTACCAGCCGGTGGCATCGCTCAGCAGCACTGCATCTCCTCACCCTGCCCAGGAATGTGGGCTGTGGTGGAAGGAGCAGATTGTGCTTCCTGCCATAGCAGGCTGCTGCCAGCTGGCTCACAGTGAGGGGCAGAGGATCCAGGTATGTGTTCCATCCTCAGGTCAGGTGCCAGTGTGAGGGCAGGCAGGCCAGGCAGATCAACGCCGTTTCCTGGATTAAGGGAAGGCATGGGTTGCACAGACTCGTGCTTGAGCTCCTTCCTTTTATTTTTCTCTTCTTTTGGGTTTAACGTCTTTACTCTGGTCAGAAATGATCTGTGTTCTGTTGTACCTAGGGCAAGGGAAACTGTGCCCTCACACCTTGTTCCTGGTTTAGTCACTAGTGCTGTGCTTTTGGCACCCCAGATCTCATCCATTGTTTGTGGGTCAATGTTACAGCTTCAAAGGCATCACACTGAGCCCAGCTACAGCATCCTCACTGACTGATGTTTGTTTTGTAGTGACTGTCATGCTGGAGGAAGGCATTTTCTGGACAGTCCTGGAGACAGAAGTGCTGTGTTTCTAGAGCAGGTATAGTACAGACAGCAGCAAAACGAATCTCTCCTTCCATGTCAGGGCTTTACCTTCAATCGTGGAATATCCCTGGCTGTGGGAGGGTTGGTTGGCACTCGGTCTTTTCTCTTGTGCCTGCTGACTAAGGAACCGGTGATACTGGGGTTGTTGCAGTGTGAACTTGCACCTGTGCCTTAGCAAACCGAACTGCAAAAAGCAGTGCCAAAAAAGAGCAGCAGAAAAGCCAGGTCTCTGCATATGGGAAAACTCCTTCCGAGCTGTAGGGCTTGTGCGTGGAAAACAAGCACAGCTGTGCTTGCAAGGTGAGTCAGCCTGCTTGGGGTGATTAAGGATGGTTTGCTGGATGACTTATATTGATGTTAGGTCTGTACACTTCTTACATCCTCCCAGTCAAATGGGAGGAATGATTTAGCCAGTGGTTGTACAGTAAGAAGGAAGGCCTGGCGGCGGTGATTCCTGCTGCTGGTTAGCTGTTGCTGTGCTGGGCTGAGGCAGTAAGAGGTGTTTACCTGGTGTTGGTGTGTTTGACAGACCGAGATAAGCTTTCAGGTACACAAAGTGTTTTCCAGAGGTGATGTCATGGGTACATAGCAATCGCAATAGCTGTTGTCACCTTGTGCTTCATGCAGAGAGCTGCTGCTTCCGTTTCAGACCTGATGGAGGAGTTGGATGCCAGACAGTTTGCCTAACTGCCAACTCTACCGGGTGCTCTAACAAGAGAGATTACCTTTTTTTTCACAAGCTTGTTCAGAAACGAAGATAGCAATACTGTACCCTATTTATTCCTGTGCACCCCCATCAAAATCCAGGAGTTGGAGTTCTGCTCTGTTCTTTCCCTGAAATAAGAGAGAGATGGAATAATAGTAGAAAAATGTTATTGCAGTGCTCTACTTGAAATCTGGACCCCCAGTTCTTTCCTAAACGTTTCTGGGAATACCAGAGTAATGGTGAGGGCCACAAACGTTGTGTTCTTTATCCCAGTGTGCTCCATCATCTTAGCAGTGGGCTGCTGAATTTCTGAAGGGGGGAAGACGTCTGGGGGATGCTCCAGGGGTGCAGATTTACTTCCTTCAGCCCCACTAAGAGCGTGTGGAGACAAAGCCTGTTTCTCAGAGCAAGAGCCAGGAGTTCTGGGCCATCAGCTGTGCAACTTTCTGCAGGATTCATAATTCAGAGAGTTATTTTTCACTGTTTCTGAACTCTATAGGTTGCCTTGGTCCTGTGGCCATCTGTCCTGCTGCAATGAGTGGGAAGTCCTTGCTCTTAAAGGTCATTCTGCTCGGAGATGGTGGAGTTGGGAAGAGTTCCCTCATGAACCGCTACGTCACCAACAAGTTTGACTCGCAGGCTTTCCACACGATTGGAGTGGAGTTCTTAAACAGGGACCTGGAGGTAGATGGACGTTTTGTGACCCTCCAGATCTGGGACACTGCGGGGCAGGAGAGATTCAAGAGCCTGCGGACCCCCTTTTACAGGGGAGCTGACTGCTGCCTGCTGACCTTCAGCGTGGATGACCGGCAAAGCTTTGAGAACCTCAGCAACTGGCAGAAGGAGTTTGTCTATTATGCTGATGTGAAGGACCCCGAACGCTTCCCTTTCGTAGTGCTGGGCAACAAGATTGACAAACTTGAAAGGCAGGTGAGCACAGAGGAGGCCCAGGCTTGGTGCATGGAAAACGGCAACTATCCGTACCTGGAGACCAGCGCCAAGGATGACACCAACGTGGCCGTGGCCTTTGAGGAAGCTGTGCGACAGGTGCTGGCGGTGGAGGAGCAGCTGGAGCACTGCATGCTGGGCCACACCATCGACCTGCAGTCCAGCTCCAAATCGGGGTCCTCCTGCTGTTGAGGGCGGCTGCTGCTTTGGGAACGTTGTCGGAACCGATGGTTGGATGGCAAGGAGAGCGGGGGCACTCTGAGGAGGGTGGCCGTGAGGACAGTGGGTGGTTGGTTTGCTCAGTGGGGAGCTGCAGCTTTGCCATCTGAATTCTGACTGGGGTTTTCAGGTGTGGAAGATGAACCTGCAGGAGAGTGCTGTCAAAGAGCGTGAACGCAGTCCTGCTCCTGTCCCTGCCTGTGTTAGCAGGTTTAATGGACTGGGTTAAACTAAAGAGGGTGAATTCTGAGCTGTAGCAAGAACTGCATGCAGAACAAAGCTGGGGGCACTTCAGAAGCTCCGAAATGTTTTAGTCCTGAACTCAAAAACTACTAGACCCGCTAAACTCATGGCCTTACTGCCAAAGCAAAGTCTGCTCAGCAGTGTAAATGAAACCTGTTGAGAAGGCTGTAGCCCACACAACTGTGAGAGTGCCAGATCCTGGAGTGGCTGGGATGTGTGCATCTGCTGCTTGGGATCAATGCATTCTGTGCTGAGTAATGCTAGAACTCTGATATGAAGTAACATAATGAAGGAGAGAAGAAACTGAATGCTGCAGCATCACTTCTTCGTAGCTGCCTGTTTCTGGCCTGTTTTCTCCACCTTTGCCTTGTTTGGGTGTTGTTTTATGGAGAGACCGGCTTCTGCTTGTTTCCTCAGCCCTTCTGGAGGCTCAACACCAGATCTTGCTTCTCACGCCTTGAATAGACCTGGATGGAAGGTTCCAGCGTGGCCACTCAGCAGTTCGTGGCAAAGGATCTGAGTTAGCTGGGAGTTCAGGAGATCTGGAGCGTGAACCTTCAGCTGGTTCCTGCCAGAAGTAATCTCTGTGTCTGGATGATTCTGTGTGTCTCTGATGCTGTGAATGCTGCAACGTAAAACCACTCACCGTGATTACCTGCTGTGTCAGGGGCTGTGCTGCTCAGCACGGTTTACTCACACCATTGCCCTGGCCTTTCCTCCCTAACGGGGAATCCAGTATGTTTTATCTGTAACTCAGCTGGCATCCTACTGCTAGAGGATGTCCACTCAGTTAATTGACCCTTGTCAATGAGCAGCTGTGCTGGGGAGAGATTTGGACTGATTCCTCAAGGGGCTGAAGAACGATACTGGAAGGGCAGAGAGCCCTCCAAAAAGGATGCCAGGCTTTGCTGATCCCAGCTCCTGCTCCCTGCTAGGTGTTAGTCCTGAGCTAATTGTGTGTAGCAAAGAGGTCAGTGCTTGCTGGCTTGCCATTGTAACCTCGTGTTCTGCAACTTCCTGTGCGAGTGTTTGTCCAAAACGATGACTTTACCTGTAAGCACGTAGGAGCCTGGCATGGGGAGAGCTTCCTGCTGAGTGCAGTGCCCACTGTGATGAGCTACTGGATAGCTAATGGTGTAGCTCAAATAGAGCAGCCTCGTATACTGAGTGCTTTAGAGCAGGGCAGCCTCTGCTCTCACACTGGCTGGTGGCAGCTAAACCCCATCCCCTAGCAGTCTGTGAGCTTGCAGGATGTCTCCCCTGGGAACTCAGGGTGACCCTGCTCTTCTCTGTGGGGCAGCCACACGTGGGAGGGGCTGAGGCTTGAATACAAAGTCGTGGGGGGGGGTGAATCTGATTTTGAAAGGGGGCTGGATATTCACGTTCACACAAATAGATAGGAAATGCTTGCAGCTCCTAGAAAGTCAGGTCTCTTGCTCTGCCTCCATGGGTGCAGCATACATTTAGGAATTAGGTCTATTTATTTAACAATGTCTGACCTCTGCAGGCCTCTATCCAGATTTTCCTTCAGTTTAACTCAGCTGAATGTAATCGTTAGGGCTTTGAAAATCCATTCAAAGGTGAGGTATAATATATTGAAGATGTTCAGTTTATTCTGAGGTACGCACAATTCCTGAAGGAGCCCAGATCTTGAACTCTGTTGCAAAGTTGTGCACCAACAGCCCTCCTTTCCCTGTGTCCACTCATGCTGCTGCAGTTGTTGCTATTGCTACAAAACTGGAATTGTAACGCTGAGATTCTACCTTTATTTAAGCAAATAAAATGTGGATGTATTCAAGCGAGTTTGGGAAGTGCTGTGTTCTTGGTTGGTCAGTTCTGAGGGCCAATTCTGGCAGAGAGAAGTCAGGAAGGGATCACATCATTTTATTTAAACTAAGGTTATTCCTGAGTGCATCCATCCAGAGAATTGGTTGAGTGTAACCTATTTACAAGCTGCGCCCGCTGATCAGTTTTGTCTTTTCAGAAGTACATCAGAAAACACTTCTGGAGTGGAAACATTTCACACCGCTTCCTCTTGTCGCTACGTTTTAATTGTCAGCCTGGGCTCTCAGCAGCAAGCCCTGCTTTCCTTCCCCTTCTTCCTGTGCTGTTGGATGCAGCCCCTCGGGCTGCAGGGGGCTGCAGCCTGGCACGACTTCCATAGGATGCTGAAACAAGGGGGCAGATGGGGCTGTTCCTCCTGCTGCCCTGCCGGGTGGGCACTCGTTCTGTGATGCTTTCCTTGTGTTTGCAGAGCCCTTGCCTACTGTTGCTGTTGACAGAACCTTTCACTTATTGTTTTGTTTCGTTTTGACCTCTCGTGTCTTCTTGCTTATCAGTTTTTCAAGTCCTCGGAAGTCCTGGTAAGGATCTGAGTGTTGTGAGCAGCAGCAGAGGGCTCTGTGGCTCTTTGTGAGCAGCTGTGAGGTCGTTGGGAATGTGCTGTCCTGAGGGGCTGTGTGTTCCTGCCGGTGCCAGAAGATGGGTAAAAAGGGAGGGCCGAAAAATGCAGGGCTGGTGAAGCAGCTCCTCCCCAATGGCTTCAGGGGGTCCTTGGGGAGCACGTGGCCGCATTTAACGCAGGTCTCCAGCTTTGTGGGCAGCCAAGCACAGCATCTGCTCGTGCTACTGTCGCTCCTTTCTGCATGCTATTGCTTCTTAGGTCCCGGATATCTTGCTAGCAGAGCCAGATGGTGTGCAAAACCAGACTGAGAGCAGCTGGGCGCCCGAGAGGCTGCAGGTGAGACCTTCTGGGAAGGCAGATGGGCCGCAGCACCTCCAGCTAGCTGCTCACCGGATCAGCCCGTCGCACTCGAACCGAAAAGCGTTGCGAGGCCACCAGGAGGAGCCGGAGGGCTGCGGATGGGAGCCGGCATCCTCAGAACCGGGCTCCGGGGCTCTGCTCTCGGAGGTGACCCCGAGAGGGGCTGGGGACCCCCCGGATCGTCCCGACACGAGCATCCCTGGGTGCAGTGCTCCCTCTCCTTCTCCTGTCCTCACACGGGGGAGGACCTGGTTCATCTTTGCTCTCTCACGGCATGGAGCTGCTGGCTCTGTGTTCGGTGGGTGCAGGGCTGGGATTTGCTTCACGCCTGCAGAGGAGGTGAGCAGCGAGGAGCAGCCTTGGAATCTGCTCCAGGGCTTCTTGCTCTGCTGCAGCCTTGGTGGAAGCAAACTGCAGCCTCGTTTCAGCTGCTTGCTGAAACAAGGGGAAATTGTTTGCAGCCAGCTCTTGTTTGCAGAAGTGAGATTTGCTACAGGGCAAGGTTTGTTCCCTGGCTGTTCTCAGCCATCCCAGGGAACTCAGGGTGTCCAGGGAAGTGAGAGCAGATCCCCTGTCACCATGTACTGGGGCAGCAGCACACAGAAGAGGCCACGCATGTCCTTCAGCCCTCAGATCCATGCCTTGGCCTCTTTCACGCACTGTCACCAACCCTCACTCCCCCCCCCGGGGGGGGGCACTGCTCACTTTCAATGGACAGAGATGCTGTTTTGTTCCCATCTCGCTCTTGCCTGATGGCCGATGGCACCCACACACAGGGGCCCTTTCAGCGTGGGGGGAGGAGGTTGGTGGCATCTGGGAACGTGGGGAACAAAGGGCCCCATTGATGCAACAAGCAGCCCCACTGCTGAGCTGGGGGAGCAGCTGAGCAACCCCCAGCTGAGTTAGGGGGAAGCATCAGTGCTGCCCGGAGGGGGCTGGGGGCGAGAAGGGGAGGGAGGTTTGGGCTGGTTATGGATGAGTGGGGAATGAAAGACCCCACAGAGTCACCTCCCTGTGCCACCAACCCTGTGCCTTCACCCCGTGGGTTGGCAGCAAGCATCCCACCAACTGCCTTCAGAGCACAAGGTTGTGGGACTCCGGCCCAGCCAAATCTGCCCACGTGCCCAAATGGGGTCATCCTGCTTCACTCTGGGATCTGGAGGAGAAATAGGGACTGTCCAGCTGCAAACAAAGGCTGGGTCCGTGAGCCCTCCTGCTGGGTGGGGACGAGGAGGGATGGAGTCCAAGGGAGACGGCTGGGCTGGGCAATGCTGCCCTTCCCTTGTTGGGGCATGGGGAAGAGGGGGAGCAGCACGACAAAGCAACAGCCAGACAAAGATCTCATTCTGAATGTTCTTAATTTTAATGTATTTCCTTTAATCTTTATAAAATACATCTTGTAAGATAAGTCTTCTAAAAACCTGCTCCTTTTTATTGCTTGTTAACGAGTTGAACTTCTAGATCAGAGGTGAAGGAAACACTTTCAGTCGATTAACTCTCTGTGTGCGTGCATGTGTGTGTGTGTGTGTGTGTGTGTGTTTGGGGCCTGGGGGCAAGGGTGGGAAGGAGGACCCGGTTATTTGTTGTTAAATCGATACCAAAAACCCACCAGCAAACCCTGCCAAGAGCGATGGCGGTGATGTGAAATGGACCCCCCAGATCTTGCCTGGTTTCTCCCCATCTCCCCCTCCCCAGCCCGTGTGCGTTGGTAGCGTGGCTGAGCTCAGTGCTGAGCAGCAAGGATCCTCGGAACGCTCTGCTCAGCAGACCGACCCGTCATCCCTGCCCCCAGCCGAAAGAATCATCGTAATACAGACATTAAATTAAAAAACAAAACGACAATAAAACAAAATATCCGTGCAGGATGGAGCGATGGTCTGCCATTAAAAGTAGTTTCTCCAATAAATAAACACAAAGCGTTAGCACGAGGCGGGGAGGGGGGAGAAGAGCGGGGCACCTGTTGGTGGGGAGGGCGAACGTGGGACGAAAACGGAGGCTGCAGGCATAGCAAACGTTACAGAAGCAAATGTCACCCCGAGAGAAGAGCACCATCGTGAAGGAACGGCTGAGTTTGGAGCAGATGGGCTGTCTGTGGGTTATCCTGTGCTACAAAGGTGCTGCTCCAGCTCTGCTCTGTAGCACAGCACAGGCGGTCCCGTCACCCGGCACTGCGGTGCTGGAGCCTGAAGCCAAGGGTGCCCTTTGCACACAGACACCAAACTCCTCCAGGCTTTAATAGGGGCAGCTGGGTTAGGGACACGGGCTTAATCAGCATCGGGGTCAGCGCTCTCTTCTCCGCAATGGGAAGATCCTTGCCCTAAACTCCCTTTGCCTTGTCTGCAGCAGGCGCTTTGGGGTAAATTCACCTTTCTTTACTAGGGGAAAAGAAAAAAATCCTTCTCATCCTCCCTCCAGGAGAGGTGCCGGCAGTCAGCTCCAGGAGAGGCTCCAGCAATGGGACTGGGACCCGGCCAACTTCCTTTTCTCTCTAGGGAGCCTCCTTCACGCTACTCCTGGAGCAACCTACACATGGATTTCTGCCTCCCAGGAGCACGAAGGCTTTTGCTCATCCCTATAGGCAACGTTGGGACACCGGAGTGAGTCCCTCCTCTTCTCTTGCTGGTTTTGGCCCTAGAGCGAACCGGTTATGGATGAGCACAGAGAGAAAAGTGCATGAAGAGGCGTCCATTGGTGGGAAGCTCTTCCTGGTCACGCTCAGCACGATGGATGCGAGGGAGGAAGAGGAGGGGAGTCAGCGGCGAAGGCAGCGTTAAGGCAGGAGACCTGGTGTCGGGTGGCTGCAGTGTTAAAGCCTCGGGGTTAGAGGAAAGGAGGGTGCGTGTCTGGCTGGGCTCCACCTCGCCGGCTAGAACTTGGTGCCCCGGCCCATCAGCTTGAGGACGGCGAAGTTGTAAGTGGCGGCGATCATGAAGGTGAGCTGCGGGCAGGAAGAGAATGAGCCAGGGGAGGAGGAGGAGGACGACGGTGCTCCAGCACCCTTCATCCCAGCACCTGGCCAGCAGAAAGCCCCGTGGCCAAAGCAGGACACTGCAGTGCCGATGTGGGACTGGCCCTCGGCGGTCTCCTAAAGCCCCTCCAGATCCCCTCCAGTGGCCGCCTCCCCCACCACCTCCTTATTGTCAGAAAACGAAACAAGCTCGGGCTCTGTCACTTCTCTGCCCACCACCTCCATTGTCCTCTGCCCCCATCTCCTTGCCAGGTGGAGGAGGACGGCAGGGCAGCGGGAGCAGCGACTCACCAGTGAGACCAGCGTGGCGGCAGCCCCCACAAAGGCCGCGATGAAGAGGTGGAAAGTCATTTGGAACTGCAAGGGAAGATGGGGGTTGAGCTCCCAAAGGTTTCTGCTCAGCCCCATGGGGGCTCCAGAGAGCACTGCAAGGGGCTCACCTCGCTGGTCTTGCAGATAGAGAGCAGGTTAGAGCCACACACTTTCCCAGGAAATGCATTCCAGGGCAGGACACCTGGGGACACAGATCAGGGTGAGCCAACGATCCCATTGCTCAGCCCCGCAGCGATGCTGGGTTGTGGGATGTGCTTTCTATGCTGGGCTGGGGACCATCACCAGGAGGAAGGCAAAGAGGGAGGACAGGTCTATCCTGCACTGCCTGTGTCGTGCTGGTGCTTCTGGCCCAGCCATGTCCCCCCAGACTCTCTCCATCCCCTCTCCAGCCCAGACCCCTCCTGGCTGCTGTAACCCCCCATGGAAATGCAGTGCTCACCGTACATCCTGGCATCCGCGCACAGTGTGCCGATGCTGGCAGTGGTCTTGGTGGGGTTGGCGATGGACTGGCAGGTGGTCCAAGTGTTAAAGTAGATGTAGACGGGCACGGCGGAGCAGGCGAAGACCAGGAGCCAGACGATGGTCAGGACGTAGGTAATGCCCACAAACTGCAAGGGGCAGCACAAGGCGAGGGCACAAAGAGGGTTACAGCATGGCTGGGAATGGGGACAGGGGAGCGCGAGGGTCCCCAGGCGGGCTGGGCACGGGGCAGGTGAAGGGCTGGGATGCACCG